CTGAGGAGGAGCCATTCCTCCTCACGATCCCAGGAGTGGCCTGCGATGGAGCACTGGTGCCCGGAGCCTTTGTCAGCCCGACTCTTCTCGGGGTCTTATTTTCTTTCTCCCTCCTCCTGCCTCCCCCAGATAGAGCGCTGAGCTGAACAACTTGTCTCCTTCCCTCCTCATTCTCCTCTGCGTGGCACCACCCACCCCTGTTTTTATTTTGGTGGAAAATATGAGAAACCTAATGCTGCCTAGTTCCCCAGCCCTGGCAGAGGGTTGCCTTGGGATTGCGAAGAGAGCCTGCAGGAGGAAGGGGCTGCAGCCTAGATCCAGGGCCAGTCTCTTACTGCCAGTGGCTCTGTGCATATGGCCTGTCAGGAAAATCCAGAGGACCCCACCCCCACCCCCACCTCCACCAAAAGAAAAGGCAAAAGAGTTGGGGAAAGAGATGGGGGGGGGGGAGTGAGAGAGGGAGAGAGAGAGAGAGAGAATGAATTTGGTAAATATCAGCCAATGGATGTGAGCACTTCTCTTGGCAAGAGCTCCAGCCCATAGTGCTGGCGACTAGGGATGACCCACCCCTTTCTTTTCCTTTTGCCCAGGCACTTAACCAGCTTAGTCCCCTGCTGTGTGCAGTTAGAGCTCTGAGATGTGAGGTGTGTTGACTGTGAGGCCTTGTTGTGAGATGAGGTGAGAGCCGGGAACAAAATGGTCATTATCGGCCATTCATGTCGACAACATTTATACCTGTGTTTGCTGCAAGCAAAAGCAGGAGCTAATTTGCAAGGCTGCCTTTGTGGAGCTGCGTTTGATCAATGGCTGCCTGTGTTAATGTTTCAGTAAGCTATTGATTTCTGCAGCAGCTTTTGTTCCCTGAATTTATGTGCCGCGGGTCTCCGCAGAACACACTATGCATGTTTGATTAAAGTTCAATTGACTTCATTCCTGGTGAGGCTCGAGCCGCTTCCCTCCCTATTTGTAGAACCACAGCTTTCCCTGGCGTGTTCTTTTGTTTGTGCTCAAGACCTAGCCACCCATGCAGTCACCAATATGCTGTTTAATCCTCCTGGATTTGCTCCATTCCAGTGTTTAATCCCTTCGCAGACATTACAGTGGTTGAGAGGCAGCTCATAAAACCTGGTCTGGACTTTTATTTATGTATTTATTTTTGGATCAACTTTTTATATACCATAAGCATGTACTCGCTTTAAGTGCACCGTTCAGCGAGTTTTGACAACTGTATAAATCCATGTAAATACCACAGTTGATTTATAGAATATTCCCATCACCCCAGAAGGTTTCCTGGTATCCTTTTTATGAGCAGTTTTCCTACTCTCTGGATTCCAGGCCACTAACTTCCTTTTTGTGTTCACAGGGTTGCCTTTTCTAGAATGGGATTCTATAGTGTGTACCCTTTTGTGTCTGGCTGCTTTCATTCAACACAATGCTTTTCGGATTCATCCATATTGTGTATCACTGGTTTGTTCCTCTTCACTGCCGAGTCGTATTCCAGTGGGCGGGTGTGCCGCAGTGTCATTCATCCTCCCGGGTGGGGGCATCTGGGTTTCCGTGAACATTTGTGTACAAGTCCTGCATGAGCACATGCTCTTATTTCTTTTGGGTAAAACCCAGGAGTGGAATAATTGCTGGGCCGTGTGGTGGATGTTTGTCTAGCTTTCTAAGAGCTACCAAACAGCTTTACAAAGTGGTTTGACCATTTTACATGTCTAGGATATGACTTCCCCCATCTTTCCTGAATTTTGACATTTACATTCTTTCGTTTTCTCATCAACTAATTTTAGACTTGCAGGGAGGGAGGGTCCTTCAGGCTTGGTCAGTTTGATCCTTGGCACTCCAAGGATCTCTTCTGGTCACATTCTTTTTAAAAAGCTGTTACTTAGCCGAACCAGTTTGGCTCAGTGGATAGAGCATCGGCCTGTGGACTGAGGGGTCCTGGGTTCGATTCCGGTCAAGGGCATGTACCTTGGTTGCGGGCACATCCCCAGTAGGGGGCGTGCAGGAGGCAGCTGATCGATCTCTCTCATGGATGTTTCTAACTATCCCTCTCCCTTCTTCTCTGTAAAAAATCAATAAAATATATTTAAAAAAATAAAAATAAAAATAAAATAGCCGAAGCCGGTTTGGCTCAGTGGATAGAGCGTCGGCCTGCGGACTGAAGGGTCCCAGGTTCGATTCTGGTCAGGGGCATGTGCCTGAGTTGCGGGCACATCCCCAGTGGGAGATGTGCAGGAGGCAGCTGATCAATGTTTCTCTCTCATCGATGTTTCTAGCTCTCTGTCTCTCTCCCTTCCTCTCTGTGGAAAATCAGTAAAATATATTTAAAAAATAATAATAATAATAATAAAAATAAATAAAATAAAAAGCTGTTACTTAAAAGGTGACAACATTGGGTTTTATTTCAACATTGGGGTTTTATCCATGTCCTGATTTCTCACGGGCTAGAGGCGGAGGACATGGTGCAGCACCAAAGGTTTAGAGTTGTGAACCGAGCTTTTCCGAGCCTTTTTTCTGCCGGTGTCTAGCATTGGGCCAGTCGCATAGCCTTGCTAAGCTCTGGCTCCCCCTCTTTTAATCTGCAAGTTATGCCATCTTTTAAACCATTTAAATTTTTTCAAAACATTCATTCTTGAGAAATAGGAACAATCCCTGGTCACCACGTGGGGCAGTATTGCATAATAGACCACTGCTGTGGCGCAGTGTCAGTGTGGCTGCCTTTCAACAGCCTTGAAGTCAGACTGAGGTTTGACAGGGACGCTGGTGGTACCCCACCACCTGATTTTCTCCCCATTTTTATTTCCCTCCGTCTCTTATAGCTTCACACTCTCTCTCAGATTCCAGGCCTCTGCATCCACTGGCCCTAAAAGGAGGAGGTGGAAGGAACCACTTTGGGTCTCCTTGTTCTTCCCTCGCCTTCAGGGTCGGGCTCTGGTCTACTGCACCAGTTGCCCTTCTGAGCTGATGTGCACGCCACTCTGGCAACGGATTCGAAGGGTGACAGTCACCTGCCTTGGCTTCTGTTCTGTTTTTTCATAAGAAAACAGATCAGTTTCGTGTTGGTACGTGTCTCTTAATCTCCTGGTGGATTTATGAGTTTGTTCCCTCCAGCCAGCCCACACCAACGATCAGTATAGATAAACGACATTCCAGGCGGGGACGGTAGGAGCAGGAGGTTCTGGCATCATGGCCGTAGGGCTCAGGGACGTTCGCCTGCATTTGTAGAACAGCATGACAGACAGACAAATCAGAAATTCAAGGGCAGTTCTACATTTTCCCTGTTGTTCATCACCTTCTCATGGAGCCGAAAAGGGGCTGGGTAGTGGCGGGCTCCTGGTCTCCATGGCCTTTAAACACTGGCCGTCACAGGCACTTCGTTGAGTGGCGTTTGGAAAGAAGCACATCCCCACTCTGAGAGAGGCATGCTGTGTGCTTGTGCTGATCCTTTCAGGCTCTGGTGACAACCGTGGTCCTCTCCTCAGGAACTGCCCAGGCAGAGAATCCCGCTCCTGGGCAGCGAGTGCTGAGCACACAATTGCCTGCTTTGCAGAAGCCATTTTCCCACCCAGAGTCTGCCCACTTCCCTGCCACCTTCCTCCATCGTGCTTCGGTCTTCTGCAGTGTTTAATGACACCTCGTCTGATGGGCACTCCGTCGCGTGCGTGCCTTACGTGGCTTCTGCGCTGCTTTGTATTTTTCCGTCCTTCCAACACTGACCTAGCTCTCCGGTCTGGAGAGCAGAATCTTCTCTTTCTTAGCTCCTCCATTCACAGGCATTCAGCCTCTGGTCGGCTGCACTGGTGCTCGGGTGACATCCCCCAGGGCGACGTCCTAGGATACCGTCGTCTGCCAAGTTAATTGACTTTGTGCAATATTTATTTAATTAGAGGAGATCAATGTGAGCTTGGCTCTCTCGCTGCCTTAAGTGTTTTGTTTGTTTTTAAGTTAAAGATATTTTATCTTGGGATTTTTGTCTAAAGAAATCGGTCTAGCTGAAACCGGTTTGGCTCAGTGGATAGAGCGTCGGCTTGTGGACTGAAAGGTCCCAGGTTCGATTCCGGTCAAGGGCGTGTACCTTGGTTGCGGGCACATCCCCAGTAGGAGATGTGCAGGAGGCAGCTGATCGATGTTTCTAACTCTCTATCTCTCTCCCTTCCTCTCTGTAAAAAATCAATAAAATATATTTAAAAAAAAAAAAAAAAAGGAAATCGGTCTTTCGTTAGCTGAATGCCATGCACCCATTTGTGTGGCTGGTGCCTGCTGTCCCTGGAGTTGCAGTGCCACAAGTGCTATCTTTTTAGGAGATGCCTTGGCTCTCTTTCTGCGGGGCCATGAAAAAAGAAGCTCTTTTTGCCTTGAAGACTGACCTGGTGACATGTGGCATTTCATCTGCACAGCAGCACCACTGTCTGTCCGCTCTTGGTCTTTCTTTGTCAAGCCCCCGTCACTGCCTTTCGGACTTGGTGCCCCCTCGTCCCAGTGTGGGCACTCAGATTGGAATGGGGGCTGTGGAGCAGGTTTTGGTTTGGGGTTTCTGCTCTTCCTGACCTCCCACCTGGCCCGAGGTCCCCGCCACCTCCGTTATATCCTTGATTGTTTCTGGAGTCATCTGTCTGGCCAGGTGGTTCCTCATCCTGGATTTCACTGGAAGGCTGTGAAGAACGGACACGCACACACACACACACACACACGTGCGGTTAGAATTATTGATGCACCTCCAGTGCTCAGGACAGAGGTGGCACCTGGCATTTAGTAGGCATCCACAATCCCTGTTGAGTGAATGGATGTTCCTGGCGTCTAGAAGGTGTGCTCTCCTGGGCGGAGGTGACAGGCCCCATTTGCCCAGCTTTTTCCTCTTGACCCCAGGAGCAAACTGTTGTTGGTCCTGGTCTCCCGGGTAGACAGCTGGTATAAACCAGCTTCTGCTCCCACAGAGGGGACAGGGGACGCCAAGTCCCTCCGGACACCTCCCTCACGCCAGCCCTTCTTTTCTGCAGGGGGAACTGATCACCTTCTATTACTACTGGAAGAAAACCCCAGAGGCAGCCAGCTCCCGGGCCCATCGCAGGCACCGCAGGCAGGCTGTGTTCAGGAGGATTAAGACCCGCACTGCGTCCACACCCGTCAACACACCTTCCAGACCCCCCTCCAGTGAATTCTGTAAGTGGGGGGTTTTCACACGCTGTGTCCCAGTTCTGGGCCTGCACTCACCGGCGGCCTTGTCAGCGTGCGGCTGGAGCCGATGCCCGGGAACCGTGTGCGCACGCGCAGGCGTGTGCTAGTGCACAGCCTGGCCTGAGTGTCACACTGACTTGGGATCTGGTAGAGAGTTTTACAGATCACTCGTTCATTTAAATTTTTCTAGTAAACACAACGTCATTTTAATTTTTTACAAAAGTAAGTCTTGGCCTTGGCCTGAGGATTTGGGTAATTTAGGAAGTTGTTCCACTCAGTAGCCGGTGTACTGTTTGAGTTTTCATTGCACTTGGATTGTGGTGGCAATAAGAGCAGATTAACATTTTTTCTTTTTCCTCCTGCCATACCAAGCTCTTTCCTCGCGGTCCCACTGTGACGTGTGATATGACAATGAAGCCACGCCCACTAACCCTAAATACTAGGATGCAGCAGTAGATAGAGTCCAGGGCACAGACCTCCAAGGGTCGCTAAAGTTGCACATGCAAACAAGAAGCCATCGGGGTCACCCAGGGCTGGCGGGGTGGCCCTGGCCAGAGCCAGGTCCTTCAGGATGCTGCGTGTGTCAGGGAGGCACCACGGGTGCCTCTTCACCCTGTGCAGATTCACCGGTTGTGGGTGCCCTCCACCCAGGTTTCAGGTGTGACACCAGCCCCCAGCAATGTAGTAGGGCAAGCTCTTGGGTACCCCCCCCCCCTCGCCCCACCGCCCCTCACACACAAGTACTTTGTTCTGAAGACTGGCCCTGAGAAATCCAGAGGGGTCCTACCTCAGCCTACTGGGCCACTCGGCCTGGTGGGCTCAGAGCCTGGGGCAGGCCGAGTGTGACGGTCCCCCAACCCTCACCCTGTGTTATGCCTGCCCATGCCCAGTGGACCTGAGCTCGGCCAGTGAGGACGACTTTGACAGTGAGGCCAGCGACCAGGAGCTGAAGGGCTACCCCTGCCGCCATTGCTTCAGCACCAGTGGGTGGGCCTTTGCCATTGCCCTTGGGTTGGCTTTCGGGGCCCCGCAAGAAATTGGAGATTTCATTTACGTCTCCCCCCCCCCCCCCCCCCCCCGTGAATTCAGTACAGAATGCTGACCAGTGGGTAGGACAGGCATGGTCAAGGTTGGGGCCAGGGCAGCTATTGTCGCTCCTCCTGGGTACCCCAACATAAGGGGGCAGGGGTTTCCTGAAATGCTGTCGTCCTGGGCGAGAGCAGGGCAGCACCAGCACCTGAGCTGTGCGAGTGTCGGGTGTCTGCCCGAGCCCAGTACTGCGCGGTTCTCATGGCACCGGGGTGGGTTGAGCCCCCTGCTCAGATGCCCCAAGGACACTGGTTTTTGAGGTTTGGCCCCCAACCCCCTTCCCTCACGCAGCCTCCAAAGATTGGCACCACGGGGGCCGGGAGAACATCCTGCTCTGCACAGACTGCCGCATCCACTTCAAGAAATACGGCGAGCTCCCGCCCATCGAGAAGCCCGTGGACCCCCCGCCCTTTATGTTCAAACCCGTCAAAGAGGAAGACGATGGGCTCAGCGGGAAACATAGCATGAGGACGCGGCGGAGTCGAGGCTCGGTGAGTCCCGGGGCCGGCGACCGAGCCTTCCGGCCACACCTCCAGCTTCCTAGGATGCCGGGGTGCAGGCACCCCGAGACTGAAACGGTTTGCCCGGAGGCATTAGCCTTTCCTGTGGGCTGCCCTCTCCCTCCCTCCTCCTGGGGCGTCAGTGTGGCCATGGGTCTCGGTTTTGCCTCAGGGCAGGCTCTCCAAGTCCCTCCGGCCTCCCTCTGGCCCGTGGCCGGTCTCTAGGGGCGCATAGCTCTGCTATTTGAAACTTGCTGGCTTTTTTTAAATGTTTGATCCAGTTTGGGAAACATTTAGGTACATGTTTTTACTCACAGCATAGCCTCGTCCTTCCGTAAAGAGACTGTTTTCCAGGTTGGAAATGCAGCCGGGACCTTTGAGAGTGAGGGCTCTCCCAGGTCGGGCCTTTTAGGCAAGTGGGTGGCACCTCCACCTTCCTCTGACCCCAGGTCCTGCCCGCCAACTGCTGCTCGCTCACAGGAGCAGATGGGCCAGCATGAGTCACTGTGCCCTGTCTTTTCGGAGCCCCCGTGGCCTTGCAGAAACGTGCTGACGTGCTCGGTGGTCTAGGGGCTGAGCCGCGTTATTTGACAGCTCGTGTCTCTGGGTCACCCCCTCCTGGCAGGTGGCACAGCAGGTGCTGTTTTGGTTGGGTTGGGCAGGTACCTGGAATAAGCACAAAGGCGAGGTGACTGAGAGCTGGCTGTGTAATGGTCATTCTGGAGAGCGTGGCGGAGGGGACTGTCCCCACTGACGGAGGCCCCTCAGAAACCCTTGCTCACTTCCAGCCCGTCGTTCAGGAGGGTCCCGGAGGCGAGTCCGTGGGGTGAAGCCGAGAATGGCTTTTCCACGTGAACCCACCCATTCACCCCTCCTCCCTTCACTCCATACTGACCCTGTCCGTGAGGGACAGCCAGGGTGCTTGTTGTTTGCCAGGGGCTGGGATTTGGCATGAGGCCAACAGTGGGGTCTGCTCTTGATGCCCCTGTGTGTGTGCTGGGGTCCAGTCTCACCAGCCCTGGGTTTGGGTGGGCAGATGTCAGACATTGCGCAGTGGTCGAAAGAAGCAGCCAGCCAGCCCTGATGGTCGCACCTCGCCACAATGAAGACATCCGCTCCAGTGGCCGGAACTCCCCCAGCGCTGCCAGCACCTCCAGCAATGACAGTAAAGCAGAGACTGTGAAGAAGCTGGCCAAGGTAAGAGGTGGGGGGCGGGGGGGGGCTGCTGGGCCCACCCTCCAGGACAGCCTGACTGCTGGAGTTGGTGCTCAGCTCCCTCCGACACGGGCCGCAGCTCATCCAAGGAGCCTCCCAGGGAACCAGCCTTGCCCTGGCCTGGGGCTGCAGCCTGGGGCCTGGGGCCTGGGGCCTGGAGAAGGGGGTCCAGCTCAGCTCCTAGCACTGACCTTTCGGGGCTCCCAAGGCCTCAGAGGCGGAAGGCGCAGGGGGGTGATTGAAGATGCTTGTTCCTGCCTGGCTCTGGCGCTCCCCTTCCAGAGCTTTCTTGCTTCTGGAGATAGAGCTCAGACTGTGGGACGGGGTGTCAGCACCCAGTCACCATATCCTGCCCCCGAGGCTGAGGGGACCCCTCTCGGCTGACCCCCTGTGCGCTTGCCCCCTGCAGAAGGTGAAGGAGGGAGTCTCGTCGCCTCTGAAGAGCACCAAGCGCCAGCGGGAGAAGGTGGCCTCGGACACAGAGGAGGCCGACAGGACCAGCTCCAAGAAGACGAAAACCCAGGTGGGGCCTGCAGCTGCAGCGAATGCCCGAGAAGCCCTCCGCCGAGTTCCCGAGGGGGTGGCAGGGCCCTCTCTCCCAGGGAGGGGCTGGGTCAGGGCAGGACCGCTGGTCCTTGAGGACAAGCTGGCTGCCTGCTGTGCGTGTGCGGGCTCTGGCCACCCAGGGCACACTAGAGCGTCCCTCCTCGCCTCTCGCCTCAGGAGATCAGCCGGCCCAACTCGCCGTCCGAAGGCGAGGGGGAGAGTTCTGACAGCCGCAGCGTCAACGATGAGGGCAGCAGTGACCCCAAAGACATCGACCAGGACAATCGCAGCACGTCCCCCAGCATCCCCAGCCCCCAGGACAATGAGAGCGACTCGGACTCCTCTGCGCAGCAGCAGACCCTGCAGGCCCAGCCCCCAGCCTTGCAGGCTCCCCCTGGGGCTGCTCCAGCTCCCTCCACAGCCCCCCCAGGAGCGCCCCAGCTTCCCACCCCGGGGCCCACGCCCTCTGCCGTTCCTCCACAGGGCTCCCCCTCAGCCTCCACAGCCGTCCAGCCAGGCTCCGCCGGGTTCTGCTTCCCAT